CATCTAAACCTCTCCTCTGGCAGTGGGAAGCCATTCCCCCTTGTCCTGTCCCTCCCTCCATCCCTTGTCCCCAGTCCCTCTCCAGCTCTCTTGGAGCCCCTTTAGGCCCTGCAAGGGGCTCTCAGCTCTCCCTGGAGCCTCCTCTTGTCCAGGTGAACCCCTCCAGCTCTCCCAGCCTCTCCTCAGAGAAGGGTCCACCAGAGCAAACAGGCACCCAGTGCCTCCACACTCATTTTGTTGAGGAGGATGGAGTGGGAGGGGTGGTGATTGTGGAGCAGAGGCCGGGGGGAGTCATCCAAACATTGCTGGGGGTGGGACTGGGCTGGCTGCTTGGCTTTCCCAATGCGTTACAGTCTGTCCCCCTCTGGCAGCAGGAGTATAAAGGGTGTCAGGAGGAGGATCCCTCTGACCTTGGTGAAATCAGCTAAACTTTCTTTTATCCCTTTAACCAGATCCAGAGGTTGGTGTGATCTCCAGGCCAAGGTGTTCACACAGATGTCGTGGTTTAACCCCAAGCAGCAACTAAGCACCTCCCTGACCCACCAGCTGGATGGGAAGGAGAATCAGGAAAGAAAAAGATAAAATCAAACCCCAAAAAACCCAAACCAAGAAAAACAAATGATGTGATACATAGAATCACAGAATCATTAAGGTTGAAAAAGACCTACAAGATCATTGAGTCCAACCATTAACCTAATTAACCTAAAATTACCAAGGCCACTAGTAAACACCACATCTACACACTGAACACATGCAGGGATGGTGATGTCACCACTCCTCCCAGTTTATACACTCAACAGGACATTCTCTGGCATGGAACATCCTCTGCCCAGTTAAGGACAGATCTCCTGGCCATGGTTCCTCCCAGCTCCTTGTGCAGCTCCTCACTGGCAGAGCCTGGGACACTGAGAAGTCCTGGATTTAGAGGAAGCACAGCTTGGCCCCAACCAAGCCATCAGTGTGTTATCAACATCATCCTCACACTAAACCCCAACCACAGCCCTGGAGCAGCTCCTAGAAAGAATTAACTCTATCCCAGCCAAAATGAGGACAGCATCCTGGTAAAGGTGCCAGGTGGTCCAGCCAGAGTGACCCCAATCCCAGCACACAGTGAGGGGATGGAGCTGGGACAGACACCTGGCACCATCCTGCATCTGTGGACTGGACTGGGAACATCAGATGTCCTGAACACAGAGAAACATCCCTGGGAGATGACACCAGGCCCTGGCTCAGAGGGAGCTGGGGAAGAGGAGTTACTGTTCTCATCCCACTCCCAGCAAAGCTTCCATCAGACAGACCAGAGCACAGGGAAGTAGGAAAAGGAATATGAGCATTATTTGGGAGCTTTCATTTCAAAATGATTCCCATTGTTTCAGAACATCTGCAAAGATTTATGACTCTGATGTTTGTCATGGGATTTATATGACTGGCACAGGTTGCCCAGAGAAGCTGTGGCTGCCCCATCCCTGGAAGTGTCCAAGGCCAGGTTGGATGGGGCCTGGAGCAACCTGGGCTAGTGGAAGGTATCCCTGCCATGGTAGGGGGTGGCACTGGATGATCTTCAAGGTCCCTTCCAACCCAAACCACTCCGTGATTCTACCACACAGCTGCATGGTCTGTCTGTCTTTGGAGCCCAAGCAGTGACACCAATGTACTGTGGATTTTCACACACACACAGACAATAAACCAATCAGAAAAATGCCATCTGTGGGATTCTTTACTGTAATATTACAAACCATTAGTGCAAAAAAGACAGATGAGAGACAGAAAGAAATCTGAAGCTTCCAAAAGTTAAATCCCTGTTTCTGCAACACATAAGCAGCTCTGAACCTGGGTCTTAGTGGCTCCTGTGAACCCTTTCTAAAATTCTTTTTTTATACAAATACCTGGCATATTGAACCAGCACAAAGATCATGGGGGCTTTCATCCCATCCCTGACAGAGCAGTAGCCCCCATGGAGGTATGGGCAGGTGACACAGGGCAGGAGTGTGAGAGCCCCTGGCACTGACACAGGAACAGGCAGCAGTTTGGAGACTTCCAAAACGGGGATTGCACGTGAACCACCTGCTTCATGGCCACAGTAGATCCCAGAAAAGCCATTTCTCCTTTCCTCTCTTTAAACTCACTCCATCCTTTGTCTCCCACATCATCCTGGGGCAAAGATCTCCAGAAGTGATGGATATGCAGTGAGGCTCCAGCCTCAGCATTTCACTGAGTGCCACCAGGGTTAAAAACAGTGACTGCCCTGCCCTGTCCCAGGCTCTGCTCTGCACAAAGGTCTCCAGCAGTGTGAAACCTCTCCATGGGTCCTTCCCCATCCAAGACCTTTGTGTACCTCTGATCACCCTGGCTGCCCTTCTCACAAGCTTTTCCTTTACTCCAGCATCTTTTTGAGGCAGGGCAATAAGAAATCCATGGATTATTCTAAACATGGACATACCAGAGGCTTATTATATCCATATTAAAAAACCTTCTCTCTCGGTGGCATAAAATCTTTGCACATTCAAAGCAAATTGATTCCTTGTTAGCATTAAAGAGTGATTTCAGTTTTCAAGGCACAGAGTTGCTGTAAAATTCTTGTACACACAGGCTGACATTTCCAGAGGAAGCAGGATAAAATTAGCCTCGTGCTCCAGCCAGAAGGAACAGGGAAGCTTTGCTGAAGCATTTAACTGCTTGAGGAGCCAAAGTCCCACTAAATTCAGTCTGCAAACTCTGATGATGGGATATAGAACCACGGAATCATGGGATGGTTTGGTTTGGGAGGGACTTTAAAGCTCATCTTGTTCCACCCCTGCCATGGGCAGGGACACCTTCCACTAGCCCAGGTTGCTCCAAGCCCCATCCAACCTGGCCTTGGACACTTCCAGGGATCCAGGGGCAGCCACAGCTTCTCTGGGCAACCTGTGCCAGGGCCTCACCATCTCACAGCCAGGAATTCCCTCCCAATCTCCCATCTATCCCTGCCCTCTGGCAGTGGGAAGCCATTCCCTGTGTCCTGTCCCTCCATCCCCAGTCCCTCTCCAGCTCTCCTGGAGCCCCTTTAGGCCCTGCAAGGGGCTCTCAGCTCTCCCTGGAGCCTTCTCTTCTTCAGGGGAACAATGCCATGTCTCTCAGCCTTTCCCCATAGGAGAAGTGTTCCAGGCCTCAGAGCATCTCTGTGCCCCTGTGTCCTACAAGGTTCAATCAAAGCCCCTTCCCTTGGGTGTCTGTGGGAGACCCAAGGGATCAGCAGGTGGACTTTGTGGCTCAGCAAATGTCTCTGCATCATTTCTACAGCAAAGCTTTTCCTTTCACTTCAGCACTATTTTCAGTGTGGGTGAACATTTCAGTCCTAACCTTAAAAAATAAACTTCAGAAGAAGAACAAATCTCTATAGGAAAGCTGGGACACTGCTAAGAAACTAATTAAAGAAACAAGCACAAAATAACCACTTCAGCAGTACAAGCTCAAAGAGGAACGGAAAATGAGGAGACGAAAATGCAGACCCACAACATGAAAAGAAATAAAACTAATTTAAATTTTTTAAAGTTTTTTTTTAAATTATTTTTTATTTATTTTTTTCTCCAGTTGCTTTGTGCTTACCCTGGTTTCTCTGCACATCCCAGCCCCGGGCCACAGCTCAGCCACTGCCCCTCACGCACATGGGCAGTTCTCTGCAAAGCTGGATTTGAAGCAGCTCTGTGGTTGTTTGAACCACCAGATCCTCCAGCAGGGTCAGGAGCAGTGTCCAAGGTAATGTATGTGCCTTCATGGAGGATCTTCCTCCTCTGAGCATGAAATCATGGAATCATGGAATCATTCAAGTTGGAAAAGTCCTCTAAGACCGTGGAGCCCAACCATCCCCCAGCACTGCACTAACCCATGTCCCCAGAGCCCTCCCACAGGGCAGGGGAGGGACCCCAGAGATGTCTCTGACCCCCCAGTGTGGGCCATGGGCAAGGAGGGGGGCTGGTACTGCAGGAGACAACAAACCTGAACCTCAGGGATCATCCCTGCTGGGCCACAGGAACGGGCTGGACAGCCCTAGGACACAACTATGTTTTCTGACTCCTGAAACACAGATACAACAAGGCCACCTGGATTCAGGTCTGTCCCAAGCTCACAGCTGCTCAGCAGGGAAATTCAAAATCTGATGGCTGAACCTGCTGGTGACACCAGAGCTGCCACCCCCGGGCACAGCAGCCAGTTCCTGTGCCTCAAACAACACAGACCTGAGCTCCAGCCTGTCCCACCCATCTGAAGAGCTCTTTGCACTCAGAGGTCAGTGCTGTGACCCATTCCAAGGGTCACAGATGGGATCTGAGCTGATGTGGCCATGCTGGGCCTGGGACCCACAGTTCTGTGCAAGCCCTTCTGCAGGCAGGTGACCACTCTCACCTCCTGGGAAGAAATCCTGCCCCACAGAGACCCCACCTCCTGCCCAGGGCTGGTGGGACATGCTCCTGCAGTTTGATGTCACAGAATCACAGAATCATGGAATCATTTGGGTTGGGAAAGCCCTCCCAGCCCATGGAATCCCCCCTGTGCCCAGTGCCCACCTTGTCCCCCAGCCCAGAGCACTGAGTGTCACAGCCAGGCCTTCCCTGGACACCTCCAGGGCTGGGCACTCCAAACCTCCCTGGGCAGTTCAAATGTTTAACCAACCCCTTCCATGAAGGAATTTCCCCAGTATCCAACCTGACCCTCCCTGGCACAGCTGGAGGCCGTTCCCTCTCCTCCTGTCCCTTGTTCCCTGGGAGCAGAGCCCGACCCCCACCTTGGTGCAACCTCTTGTCAGGGAGTTGTAGAGTTCCTCAGGGCTGCTCTTGCACAGACCCAGGGTATCTCCAGCTCACACTGTCCACATTTCTGGGCTCACCTGACTTTCAGCCAGGGGAACTCAGAGACCCAAAGCAGCAGCACTGCCCACCCCAGTGCCCTCCCGAGTGGGAGCGGCCCCAGCCCAGCTCACATGGCAGAACTGCCCGTCGAGGTCTGACAGCACTTTTCACCAACACCACCCATGCAAAGGGGGGCCCAGTCTCCCTGAATGCCACCCCAAGCAGCAGTGGGGGAGGCAGGGTGGGTCCCTCAAGATCCAGCTGCAGCTCTGGGCTCTGCCAAGAACAGGCTGTGTGAGGTCAGGAGTGTTTCCACCAGGCACTTCCCAGCCTGAGCCTCACACTCCAGAATTGCAGGGAGATGGGAAAGGTTGAGCATTAAGAGTCCTTGATGTAATTCTTTGCAAAACCACTCTGGAACCCAAAAACACTCAGCCTGTTATTTAAAGAGGGGGCTTTCCCAGGAGACAAGCAGAGAATAGCGGAGGAATGAGTTATCAGCCTTCCTACACATTGTCCAGGAGAGCTTTGCTGGCCTGGCTTCCCCTGAAACCCGTGGAAATACCTGAAATGGGTATTGCAGAACCTGTGGAGGAGGGGATTCCTGCAGAAAACACGGCCAAGCATGGAAAAGGAGAACAAGCAGTGCCTGCTTGGAGGTTTGTGCAGACCCAAGTGTCTGTCAGCTGAAGAGGAACAAGTCCTTGGTTAAGGAGGAGATATGGACCTGAGCCCCCTCCAGCTGAGGGAAGTTCTCCTTGCTGATGGGGACAGGTCATCCATGCAGGGAAAGAAACACCAGGGCAAGTGAAGCTCAGAGTCACCATATCCCTTCAGAAGGAGACAAACATGGCACAGGAGGACAGCAGAACCAGGCTCCTGTGGGTGGACCACAGGTCAGTGGGTGCTGTCCCTCCTGGGATGGAGGTTTTGTGGGATTTAAATTATTCTGCCAAACTACCAAGGGTTTGTCTCCATTCAGACACCTGCAAAGCCACCACCCTGTGCCTTCCTGCCTCTGCTGAAGCTCTGCAGTCAGGGAACCCCAGCCCAGCCTGGAGAGGGACCAGCCAGGATGGTGGCAGCAGAGGAAGAGGCAGGTCAGGGATCCTGGCATCCAGGGTTCACAAGGATCCTGGCTGTCCTGGAAGCCCAAAGGAAAGCCCTCCAATGTCTGAAGTCTGCCCTGGGCAGTGCTTGCTGCAGCCTCAGGAAAGGGTCCTGGGCCAACGACGAGGGGCTGGCTGACCTCTAATAACAAGGCTCTTGGTTCATTCCCAGCCCTTCTGAAATGTTCACCCCCTGCTCCAAGTGATGTGAAAATACTGGTTTTTCACTCACAGAATCATAGAATCACAGGATGGAAGGGTGGAAGGGACATTAAAGCCCATCTCATTCCACCCCTGCCATGGGCAGGGACACCTTCCACTAGCCCAGGTTGCTCCAAGCCCCATCCAACCTGGCCTTGGACACTTCCAGGAATAGGGAGTGTGTATTTTCAGGGAAATGGAGTATTTCTACAAAACTCAGGGAGCTCAAGAACCAGAGGGATTTTCACTAGAGAGATCTGCAAGGCAGGGAAAGAACCAGGAGCAACTCTGGGCACATTTACCCCCACCTTCTTTCCCCCTCCTGTGTTCCTGCTGTGCACACACACTCCAGCAGCTCCTCCTACACTCCTGCAATTCAGGCACCATCTGTTTTTCCCTCAAATTTCAAACTGGCAATGAAAACTGTCACTGCCCTGAGGGCAGGTCTGCTGAAGGACTCTGATGGTTTTAGCTCCACGTCCCAGGACAACCATGTCCAGCAGGTTCCTGGGAATTTCTCATGGACCTACCACTGGCACAAAACAGAGGGACCTGATAACGCACTGATCCAAGCCTGGCTGAAATCCCTGTGGCAGAGCAAAGGGCTCTGAGGGCTCTGAGCAGTGATGTCCAGCTGGGAGGGAGCAGCAGGTGGCTCAGTGTGCCCAGGGCAAGTCCTCATCCCTGCAAGCTGGAGGAAGGTCCCAGGTCAGCTCTGGTCCAAGTCTTGGTGCTGCTTTCCCTTGCCTTTAGTGCATTGTCCTTGCTCTGTTGGCCTATCTGTGCTCTGCCAGCAGGAGAAATGAGCTGGGATTCTGGGATCCTGGGAGCAGACACATCCCAGCAGGACCTGGCAGAAAGGGAGCTGGGAGTGTGGATTGAAAGGAAGCTGAACAGGAGGCAGAGTGTGCCCAGGTGGCCAAGAAGGCCAATGGATCCTGGCCTGGATCAGGAAGAGTGTGGCAGCAGGAGCAGGGCAGTGATTCTTGCCCTGGACTCAGTGCTGGTGAGGCCACCCCTGGAGTGCTGTGTCCAGTTCTGGGCCCTCAGCTCAGGAAGGACATTGAGGGGCTGGAGCAGGTGCAGAGGAGAGCAACAAGGCTGGGAAGGGACTGGAGCACAAGTGCTGTGAGGAGAGGCTGAGGGAGCTGGGGCTGTTCAGCCTGGAGAAGAGGAGGCTCAGGGGAGACCTCCTCACTCTCTGCAACTCCCTGACAGAAGGGGGGAGCCAGGTGGGGGTCGGGCTCTTCTCTCAGGAACCAGCAGTAGGACAAGAGGGCCTTAAGCTGTGCCAGGGGAGGTTTAGGTTGGGTATTAGGAAAAAATTTTTTCCAGATAGGGTAATCAGACATTGGAATGGGCTGCCCAGGGAGGGGGTGGAGTCCCTGTCCCTGGAGGTGTTTAAGGTGAGACTGGATGTGGCATCAGTGCCATGGGCTGGGTGACACGGTGGGGTGGGAGCGAGGGTTGGACTTGATCTCGGAAGGCTTTTCCAACCAGGCTGATTCTCTGATTCTCTGATTCTATGGTTCTATGACCTCAGAGATGCACAGTGCCAGCAGGGAGGGTCACCATCCTAGTAGCTTGGGCTGTCCAAGCAGATTCCTGGTTTGGTCCCCAGCTGTCTTGGGTTGGCTTAGGCCCTGGAATGTCTTCTCTCTCTGGCTGAGCCTGGATTTCTGACTTCTCCAGGAGAATGACATTTCCCTCCCTCTGCCCAGGAAGCCTCAGGATGCAGCTCCCTCCAGGCCAGGATCCAGCTTGTCTGTGGGGGACACAGCACGTTCATGGCCTTTGGGTCTCAGAGGGGTTGGGAGTCAGTCCAGGGTGCAGGGAACTGAGATGGGACCTAAGCCACTGCCACCCTGCATTAGATATCCTTGAGCCAAGACTGAGCATTCCTGTGGCCTTGGGGCAGCTGTGCAACAGCTGGAAAGGAAAGGGCTGGCAGGAGGAAAGAGAGTTCCCCTCTGTTTTGTGAGTTTTACCCATCTTCCTATAGCTGTCTGAGGAGAGGAGAGGAGAGGACACAAGGCCAGGGAGCTTCACACAGACGGGAATAAAGTAAAACAAAACTTCATTGTCTGTGTCCAAACACACCAGTTCCAACTCTTCCTGCTCCACACATCCATGAGTCTGACATGGTATGTCCATCAAAACTGCAGCTTCCAGCCAGTGTCATAGTTCAAATCACAGTGCTGGGACCGAACACCAAAATTCATCACTCCTGAGCCATCCATGTGATCACACATGGGGGCCTTCTGCAAGGCCAGGAGGGAATTGGCCCATCCTGCAACAAAAGGAAGGCAGGATTATAGGATTGCTCCAGTGTAAAACTATCCCAAGAGAAAGGCACAAGCTTCAAGAGTGAGACCAGTTGTAAAGAAGAGTCTAAAATGATGTCAACAGCCGGGACAAACAGAGTGAGGCTGAAGACACATGATCTGCCTCTCCTCTAAAGAGAAGCTAAGAGGTGACCTGATAACAGCATTTAAGCACTTTCAGGGAAGGAAACTCCTGGACACTCAAAGGCTCTTTAATCCAGCAGAGGATAGCAAAGCAAGATCCAGCAGCTTAAGGTTAGAGCCAGAGAATTCAATTCAGAATGAGTCACAGTGATTAACCACAGCCACAAAGGGTGCAGGGAAACAGCAGCTGCTCCAGCAACTGGTGCCTTCAAAGCCAGACTCGTCCAAAATACAACCTGCATTCCTGCACCCAGTCCTGGAGGTGTAGCTGAACCTGCCTGCAGTGCCTCATCTGCTCCTGAGCCTTTCCAATGGGAAACAGGAGATCTTGCCCTCTTAGAGAGCATTTGTGGATGCACAGCCTTGACACAGAAGTAGGGAAGACTCTGGACCTGCCTTTCCCATTCTCCCATGGCACAGAATCAAAGGATGGTTTGGGTTGGAAGGGACCTTAAAACCCATCTCATCCACCTCCTGCCATGGGTAGGGACACCTCCCACCAGCCCAGGTTGCTCCAAGCCCCGACCAACCTGGCCTTGGACACTTCCAGGGACCCAGGGGCAGCCACAGCTTCTCTGGGCAACCTGTGCCAGGGCCTCCCCACTCTCACAGCCAGGAATTTCTCCCCAGTCTCCCATCTATCCCTGCCCCCTGGCAGTGGGAAGCCATTCCCCCTTCTCCTGGTACTCCACATCAGGTCACTTCACTGTTGGCCCAATGCACCATCTCTCTTTGAACACAGCCTCACGGGACTGAGGTGAGGGACATGGCAGCCAGGTCCTGCAGGCCCAAGGTGTGCTCAGCACCTGCAGATCTGTCATTGGAGGTCCCTGCTGTGGGTCCTCAAGATAATGCTACAGCCCTGTTTGTATCACAGCCAGTGCCTGACACCACCAAAAGTGGCCCTTTCAAGGTGGGACATCAACATTCGTGGTCCCTTCTGCTCCTGAAAGCAGATGATGACATGTGCTCACACAGAGATAGGCAGAACCCCAGCACTGCCAACAGCACACAGCTACTCTGGAGGG